ACGCTTTCTTCCCAAAAGCTCTTATTTCGGCCATTTTTTCTATTTGCCTGCTTATTTGTCACTAGACCTTTGTCCACTTCATTCCACTATTTCAGTGAAGTAGTCTCTTCTTTCTTGGCCTTTTAAAAAAATGTTTATATTAATGTCTTCTTTTTCTTGAGTACCCGGATTATAAACGTCTAGTGATTATATCAGATATGTGCTTATCTCTTATACTTGCTTCATTTCTTACCGTTTTTTTACTTATTTTGTTCATGTTCTAATTTTGAGCATATTTTGTCTCCTATATTCGCTCCTTATGTACAGATTCTCCGCCTATTATCTCTTTTGTCGATAATTCATTTATCACTATAATAGGTCTAGGGAAGCTTCTACCACGATTCACTTTGTAATGGCTAATTACCCTCCACCAGCCTACTACTTTTTATACGAATTCTCTCCATTCATGTTGAGGGCAAATTTCGTTTAGATTTCTCATTCGATTTTTGTCGGCCTCTTGGGCAAGTCACCATGGGGACTTATTATCAGGCGACCTGTGCCCGAAGTAATTTCTGCCAAACGCGAGCACAACAACAATCTTAATTCCAGAATAAGCTTAATTTTTTTGCAGCCGATGCCTTGTTTAGAACTCGTCATTCGTTAATTGTGCCATGCAATTTTTTGACCCAACTAAATGTAATCTTGCCCTTGCCCCTCATAATATGATCCAAGTCAAGTGTTTGTTACATTACTACTTTGTCAATTAATGGTGTTTACTGAAGCAGAATGTGTATAAAGCTGAGAGACATTTTCTTCAAGTACGTTAATAGGGCAATGTTTGGGGTAGTTTGCTAAAAGCTGACTATTCTCCCGAAGTAAGGGCTATGATTGAATAGAATTGACAGCAGCTCTCGACTTGGGACTATCGCTTCAATGACAGGGATCAGGGCGTGTATCTCCTCGGCTGACTCATCACCATTATATTCTAGGCTTAATCTTCTGTTTAAAATTTAACCAACTTATAGTTTTCAAGATATGCGGTTTCCAAAAGTGGTACCATATCCGTCTTACTGAATTTCAACTCATAAACCGTTATTCTTTTGTTGAAAATACATTTTTCTGGACTAATGTGGTTTATATTTCGTAATTTTTCTTAAGTTACCACCCTCTAAATATCATTTGGTAAATTTAATAACTGCTCCCGTGTAGACTACATACTCTACCTGCCAGATACAGATCATTGGACTACTCGCTTCAATAAATTATTATTTGTGGGCCATCTCTTTATCTATTTTTCATGTTGTTGCTTGGAGTAATAAACTATCTTATTTGATATGTAAGTCATTTAAAAAGGGGCAGTTGAATTTTTGACTTTGTTCTTTCTTTTCTTCATCTGATGCGTATACAGATATACTCCAGTGAGCTAATTATTCGCTTTACGGGAGTTAGAGAGTGAGGGTCATTTAAATTAAGTTTCCGACTTTTCAGTTAATCACTAATCTTTCGGCCGACTTTCTTATTCGACTCTTTTAGTTTAGTGAGCCTTTCAAGTAGTATTCTTGTGGCTCAGTGTCTTAGGGTTCTGTATTTCATTATCTAAGGCTTGCACATGCTCTTGATTGGCTCATAGGACGTCTTCAGAGCGAAGGCAAATAGACAAACTGAAACATTTGAGACATTTTTATTTCCCTTGCTTCCCTTGTGACCTTGAGTATTTCTATCTCCACATATGATAGTTTCTATTTATCCAGGATAATGTCATCGTATAACTTCAGAATTAATTGCAGTCATACTCACTATTTAGGCGGCTGTGCCTTTAGCTTTTCTTTACTCCCTATATATGTCTAATGTTTCGAACCTGAAAGTATTTCTAACGAAATATTTTAAATGCACAAATGATAAGCTTTATTTTTTATTTACATTTTCTTTATCTTTTCGTTCTCCAGTTGACTCTCATGATTCGGATTTAACGAATGATCTCCTTACAAACGGCTATTCCTTCCCATCCTTCAGCGGCCCTTCATTACCATCTTCGTCTGCTAGCTTCTCCTCTTCCTCATTCGCATCCCCTATTCCCTCCATTTCCTCTCCATCCTCCCTTTCTCCGTCTCTCTCTTCCTCCCCTTTCTCAGCCCTCTCTTTTACTTCTTCGTTTTCTACTCCCTCTTCGTCTTCCTTCACCAAATTCATCAATTTGTCTTCATCTTCCTCTCCCCAATTAAGTTTATCAAATAGTTTCACTCACCCTTTAGCATCTGCTGGCTCGCATAACACCGGCCAGAACCAGGCTCTCATGAATTCCTCCAACTCCTCTACCTCAAGTTTAGATTATCACGCTTCAGAACCCCAATCTATCGATCGGCACCTTCATCCATGTTCACTGCACCAAGTTACATCCCACTTAGCGACCCCGACCAACAGTTTTCATCTCAATTCTCTTCCTTTGGATGTCTTGAGTCCTACCCTATCCATCCACCGCCATCACTCTATGTGTTCCGACTTCTACTCCGAACCTCTTCCGTCCTGTTCTGGTGCGAGTTACAATAGTCCACGACTCGAAATACATACAAGTCTATCTGAGCTCCCCAGACCGTCCACAAGTTCGGCTTCTTTCATGTCTCCTCTTGATCTCGTAACCACCACCACCTCTTCGGCTTCATCATCCTCGTTTTCTTTGCTTTCATCACTCTCGGCTCCTTCTTCACCTTCTGCTACTCCCATACATCCACCATCTGTGATTTCCAGCCTCCGGGTGATAAAGGACCAACATTTGAGCTTGTCCTCAACAGCTGCCGCCTCAAGTCTTCCTTTTGGTGGTGGTGCCTACAAAAGTAACCATTATTGTGGTAGTAAATACCTTTTGAGCATGCAAAAAGCTAGGAACACTATGTTTAAGGGTGAGGTACAATTTTTTTAGAGTACCACTTGAAAAGTTTTGGAGAAATAATATTTCAAGATAAATTGGTGCTTATCATCCTGCCTGATCAGAGGCATCCATTGTCTTGGTTTCACAGATTGGAAGCGGTTTTCCACAAAATAGTTAATCGCAAGGAATTGTGCCTTATAAATCATAATCGAAATGCTGGTTATTTAAAATTTTATTTTTTAACGCTAATTTTGAGCATAGTCTCTCAATTCCATTCAAAGCTCAATTTTTTCTCGCACCTTGTCCTAGCTGGGCTAGCATTCAGAAATTCTTACTTTGACTCGGAGGAATCCAAGCGAATTTCTCTTCCACAGTTATTCTTAGCATAAAACTAGTCTATTTTACCGCATTGAAAATTTATATGGGCCGAGCAATAATTTCTTTACTCCGATGCGGCCGCTCTAACGTTCTCGAAAAGGTTCCAAACCAAATATGCTAGCAGTCGTCTGATCTCGTTTTCGCAACTTCGTTGTGCTGTCAGATGGATACATCTTGTCCGAAACTTTCTTCTATAGCGTTATGCTAATTCCCAGCGTTTGACCGTGGACTCGGTACATTCCCAGATATTTCGCTCGCAACATAAGCGGGATCGACAGTGAATCTTGTACTTTTGGGCACCAAGTTAGAAATCATCAAAGAGACAAATGAAGTCAATCTCTTGGCCAACATTCCGCCAAAAGTTTGTGTTATCATTCCTCTTTCTGTCCTGGCGCATCTACCTATTCCCTACCCTCTTATCTCAATACCATTCTATCACGGCTTCTGACCTATTTATATTCGATTTATTTAGAGGCGTGCCCTTTTTGGCCCTCTATATTGATTTGCCGGAATTGTTGATGCGACTCGGATCTCCTATATGAATCTTCATCAGGGCCCCAGAGAATAGTTCCATAGCTTTCTGGTTACTCCGAGAGCTATTTCTCATGGTCTACCACAAATATTTGGTAGAACGTATACTGTGGTCTCACCGGAAAGATGGTCTAGGCTATAATAAAGAGCAAATTTCAACTAGGATTTTATGAAAATAGGATCAGAACCCGGGAGGACGACTCTCCTGTAAACTGAGCCAAAAATTGCGATCGTTGCTAAGACAATCGGATTTTAAGGTAATAATAAAAGATAACACTCTTCACCAGAATGCCGACGCAATAGGGGAAGGTTGACAAATTGGATTGCTCGGGAGTCTATAGTATCAAATGCGGCAACTGTGAGCATAAGTCTATTGGCGAACCAGGAAGAAAACTCAGCCTACGGAGCAAGAAACACCAAAGACTCTGCAGAAACATGTACACTGAAAGATCCGAAATAGCGGAACACATCGCACGGACAGAACACGAAATTGAGTGGAAATCGACAGAATGGCTGGCTGCATATGGTGGAAGTACAAGAAAACGCAATAAATGGGAATTCATCGATATCCCGACGGAAAGAAGTCTAATAAACAGGAGAGTTGAATGAGGCAGGATTAGCGAGAACTTTGCATACTGCCTAAGCAAACTCTGAGAAGATCCGGGAACAGGAATATCAGCAAAAAGAAGACGACTGGACAAAAGAAACATTTTTAGTTTTAAGAAAAGAAATAACAAGGAGACCAGAAAGGAACAATCTGAAACTAAGAGGGAACATCTACAATGATTCTATTCAAATCAAGTAGAACTATCATATTTGGGGATCGGCAGGCAATAAACTTGGGCATAAGAAAGTTATAGACTTGGCATTAGGGATGGAAGATCGAGAGAAACGGTGGTGACCTTTGATAATTAGCTATTAGTGGATAGGTTTGCTCATAGACGTCATCCATGAAGTAAAGGCATGACCACGAGATTTACTCGGTTCACATGCCGCACAGAGATAAGGGAATCTACAGTGTCAAGTTAGGTTGCCATGCCAATTGAGAATCCAGGCTTTAGGTTATATTTAGGCTGGTGTATATGTGCTATCAAGGGCTTGAGGCAGAGTGTAGAACAACCCCTTGAAAGTAGCACGGATACGGTGGCAGCGATGAAGTGAAAGCACTTAAGTTAAGGATCCTACGGAGCAAGAGAGTGACTCATAGGACCCGAGGGGAGAAGATTGAGGATTAAACCGTAGCCTTGGATCAACACTCCCGGTGCAAGATGTGAAAACCAGCGACAAGTGTAAATATGCTTCAAATAGGTTTGGCTAAACAAGTAGGAAATTGTGATATTGAGGGGGTGATACGAGGATGTAGGATGGGTGAATAGCCAGAACAGAAGGATAGATACTACAACTGTTTAGCAGACAATTTGTCAAAGGATATGTAAAAAAAATGAGTTTCGAAGAGTCCCTTAGTGGATTGCTGTTGGAGTGCCGTTCATTTCGTTTGAAGACGCGAGTGGAAGGGATTCGTAAGTTGGTTCCTCTGGAAACTGGGGGTGATTGTCTTGGGGCTGTAATTGCATATTTGTGCGAATAGATCGTCGGCGCATCACCCCTCAACACTGATGAATCCTTGCAGAGCTTTCGTCCGTCATGTGGCGGACATTGTCAGAGCAGGACCCCATGCTTAACGATAATTCACCAAAAACACGAAGGCAAAAAAGGTGGCCGGTTTCAAACCTACTTCCTTCTTACATTTCAATTTGGTCCACTTATGCATCTCATGTTTGTGTTGGATACCATATCCTTTGCCTACATATTTGCTCATAAGTTAAGTCATGTGGCTGCTGATGACATGTGAAGTGGTTGCGGAGGAAGCGTGAAACGGCGGAAATTGTGACCGAACAACTGCATCCTTCCATAAATTAATTATGCCTTTGATCCTGTAATGTTAAAGTTTTCTTCAAAACCCAGTATTTCTACATACCTACGTAGTACGTACGGATACCATTGTTTCCGAGAATCTTTATTTACACTAAAACGAAGAAAGCAGTGGCCCGGCAAGTCAATCAAATTCGTTTTTTTAAATTATGCTTTTTTTCGTAGAGTTGTTCCTAGGTTTTGTATTATTGATAGACCAAATTTGCTTACTGGAACTAAGCTAGTCCTTTAAAGGGATTTAGTTAATATTAGGACTCAGGGAAACATTATAAAATTACACTTCTTCAGAAGGAGGAAAACCAGATCACGTCAATCATTGGCAGATACTCTTGATTCGGAAGATTTCTCTAAATTATAAAGAATGGCTGAGAAGCTGTATGATCTAGTTTTTCAACAGATTAGATGAAGACATGATAAGAAACTTAGGAATTTGGGTATAAGTGTTAGGACGAAACATGTTAGGGAGCAGAGGATCGTTGGTGAGAAAGTGTCAAACCTATTTAGCACAAAATTGGACGTTACCTTTAATAAAGTGCTCTCTAAAGGTTTAAAATTTGCTTTGCCAAACAGGAAGGATAATAGGGACGAGACCGTGATGGAACTCAGAGATTTCATCGACCATCTTCTAGAAGAGACTAAGAGTGATAGTGAATTACAGGTGGTTCCTTTAATTGATAGCCATGTAGAAATAATACCGAGTAATAAGATTGTAAAAAAACATCATAAGGAAAC